AGGGCAACCTGATCAAGCACTCATACCATGCCAACAAGCTGTCCATAGAAAGCAAGTAACTGTTGAATGTCCTCACTGTAGAATGAGCCTAAATAAGAAGAATCTTAAACAACACGTGGCAAGAAAACATCAGGTTGTTACAGTAATTGTACAGTAATTTTACAGTAAAAGTAATTGTTGTGCAGTGTTTTTGTCTTCACTCTCTGAATGTGTAATTGGATGATGCAAATTGATGCAATTATACAGAACCTGCATAATATTTAAAATATAACATCCTACAACAGATATTGAATGATTTTAAATTGCAACAAAAATATTAAACTTACCAAAATTCAAAATTAGTTATTTAGTTTTTAATACAGATTAAAAGTATAGATTAAAAAGTATAAAAAAGTTTAAGTACCTGTATAACTATGAACAAGATAGAAAAAAAATACACACATGAATCTATACACTCAATGGCCACTTAATTAGGTGCACCTTGCTAGTAGCGGGCTGGACCCCCTTTTACTGTATACAGTGACAAGTCCACATCACAGTTGAATTAAACGTTGAAATCACACAGCACAAGACTTGGCATGAAAAACAACGTATAAACCACAACCTAGGCAGGTAAAAGTTAGTAACTCATGTAAAAGATAAAAAAATAAAGTGCTTAGAAGTGTAAGGTGTAATGAGTGCCAGATTACAGCAGCCACTACATGTATTATGAACAAGATTTATGAGTATGGATATTAAAGACGTCTAAAGTTATTATTGAACGACTGGAACTCTTTTTGAAATAAGTTGTTCGGCAGTCTGTTAGTGTGTATTTTTATTGATGTTACATTTTCCTGAGGGTAGAGGATCGAAGTGTTGATGACCGGGATGAGACGTGTCCTTGATGATGTTCTTTGCTCTGCTATGGTACCGGGTGTTGGCAATGTCCTCGAGTGAGGGAGCCATTTGGTTTAAAAGCTAGTGTTAGGTTTGTGGAATATCTAAACATGAATAATCGTATAAAAGGTAAAGTGCATGAGCATATTGCACAGAGATAGAATATTATATAGGAGCTAAATACACATTAATTTGAATATTGCAGCAGAATATAAAATATATATTGGACAAAAGAAATATTGGTATTGGACAGTCATCTTACTGTGCTAAGGGGATGGGGAGGTAGAGTGTACACATAACACAGTGACTAGAATAAATGTAATTTGCAGCGTATCTGACATTGACATCCGGAAGAATGGAAGGTTGATTTAAAAAAAAAAGTGTGTTCAGCAGGAGATCGCGTGTGGATGTGTGTGGTTATAAACTGGAACGATACCGCTTAATGCAAAGCAAAACATTACACATCCCAGCTCATCGCATGTTAAATAGTTAAAGTTAGTGGCGGAACCAAGCCGTTCCAGTTGTATTTTGCAGGCTGCGTTCCAGTTTCCGTGTTTTTTGTCACCGAAAAAAAGGTTTAACGATGATTGGACGCTTGAAACTCGCCCATACAGCTTGGGGAACGCCCATTACGTTCTCTGATTGGATGCTTGAAACCCGCCCATACTGCTTGGGGAACGCCCATTTTGTTCTGCAGAGACTCATAACTCGATATAGGCCCAATCCCAAACTATACCCTCGACACTCTGCCTTCATTTCGAGTCACACTCCCGCCGAGTCACCCTCACAACACGCCCTATACACTTAAACTGAAGGAAATTGTCACAAGAAAGATTTGAGGCAGACTTGCCCTCGCACCGCCTTTTTACAGTCTTCTTTAACGGAAAGAGGAAATGCATTACGTAGTGATTTGACGAAATGGATCCATCAAGAAGCTGTATTGTATTTTCTTTAATGACATATCAGTTATTTTTAAAAAGCACAAAGTTTATCTAATGCGAGAAGACGACGGCTACGTCGTCTTATAGCACTGAGCAATTTTAAGTATGTACATGTGTCATATTGACGATTTGACGGGTACCAAATACCAGATCCAGATATGTAGAGGAAAAAACAGGCAAATATGCTGTTATTGTTGCTGGTGTGATGTTGATCAAGTTTGCGTTCGACTGTTTCTTCGCGTGGTTTCTAGTTTGAAAAGTACACAAAATCTCTCGTAATCGGATCACGATAAAATCTATCTGTACTGACCAGCTATAAATAACTGCTTTCCTAATTTTTTTTCTGCGGCGATGAATTATAACATATAACATAGACTTTCTATGTGTATTTCACAGTGCTGTTAGAATCCAATTATTAAATTATCACGCTGTTCTGTTTCCTGTGCGCTAGGAATTATGGGATATGGACGTAGTAGTGAAATCGCGCGAGCCACCATCGTTGCTGACTCGCTAAAGGAGGGCATAATCGACCACTCCCCCTTAGCCCTTGCTGCTTTGAGACACACTTCAACATGGCGACGGGTCTCGGGAACGCGCAAACGAAGGCGTAGTGGTGAGGCGGAGTGTGTACCCAGCAAACAGCAAGTCGTCCTTAGGTCGTCCACAGGACGTCCTCTTTTGGTCCGGAAATCGTCCTCAAAGGACGTCCTTAGGTCGTCCGCAATACGTCCCTTTTGGTCCGGAAATCGTCCTCAAAGGA